ACTGACATTCGACACGTTGCAGGTATGGATAATGTCGTTGCCGATGCCCTCTCGCGCATAATCCTTGTATCGTTTCCCGCTGTAAAAATCCGACCTGAGGAACACACTATCGCGGGCATCCATTCACTCCGTTGCGCTGGGTGCCCCCGGAGTGCGTTCGTACATCCCAAATTCAGACTGTGAACCAGCCTCAGATCCTTGGCTTCTGGTTAACTAACTCACTCTTTTTTTGCCACCATCAAAAATCCCGAAAAAGGCTTTTGAGGTAGTTAACTTTATCGAACCATTGTTTCCTCCAACTGACAAAAAAGACTTTGAACTCTTACATGGTGCATACTTAGGATCACTATTAGAATATGGAGCTGAATTTGCGTTCTGTGGTGTTGTGGGTGATCATGACTCACTCGAACGAGTTCAGCGAACAGGCATAAAGCTCGTGTCAGGTCTCGTTCAAGCCCCATATCCCTCCCGTCTCACCACACTGAACCTTCAACCGCTAAACACCCGCAGCATCAGAGCGGACCTTCTCCCTCTTTACCGCTTATTTTCTACGGACACGGCCAACTTGTTTAAACCCGCTGTAGCTCAGATACGCTTCGTGGACTGAAAAAACTGCCTAAGACTCGGCCCTGTACCCAGTCCGTCACTGGTGCTTCATCCATAGAGTTGTTCCTTTATGGAACAAATTGCCGCATGAGGTTGTCCATACCACTTGTTCAAACACAAGCACTATATTTTTCTGGATCTTAAACCCACTGAGAATAACTTTCATTCACGTTCATGTTTACTTTATCCCAACTGGAAAATTATTTTTTTTACAAGGAAGAAAAAACAACGAAACAAAGATGCAAACGTAAAAAATAGAAGGAAACGTTTTGAAAGCTATGCGCCATAATTGTCCTTTGTATCTCTAAGCGTTCCTCCTTTTGGACTTTCCCGCATGTGCATGCAAGAATGTATATACTATCTAGATGCGAATAGTTGTGAACTGCAAGCAGATATTGCACCCCTGCTTTCCCCTATTCCCTTTCAGGGTTCTACTTGCAATATCTGTTTCTCAGTCGCCCTCACTAGCGGGCCGTGCTCCCACCATCAGCGGGCACTTCCCTGTAATCCAAAGCTGATAATAACCAAGATAAGGGGCCTTTGACTCAGCACTGAATACGTTAAATACTTTAAGGCTTCAAGACCACTGACACGGGGCACTGACCACTTTCCGAGATTTAAAATTTGTAGCGGGATTCATCCGAAGTTTTCTGACCACATCACTGTTATAGATTCGATCCCAACGAGAAAGATGTTACATGATATTTTGATCGCTTGAGACAGTAGGTAATCCGAATGATTTTAAATGTTTTTTAATGTTCTTTTGTTTTAACTGACCATTTTACTTTGGTCGGGCACTTTCGATTGCATAACGCGCGATAAGCATGCCGGTGGGTGAGGTGTTCTGTGATATTTTCCTTTTAAACATTATTCTCGAGTGCTGTCGCTAATTACTTGTTTAATACTTCTTTTAGCTCGCAGTTGACCTTTTGCACCCAACTCTGCGCGAGGAGAAGAGAAAATGCAAACTAAAGCGCTTGGTTCCGTCCCCGAATTCCTTTTTCATGGATGTTAAGTGTCCAGGTAGGTTAGCAATTTTATGTTGGTAGATTGTATTCATAGGATGTTTGAAAATTCAGATAGTGTTCAGTCATGCACAGACCCCAGTGGTTTGTCCAGGATGTGATCGGATTTTGTGCCAGCCAACAGGCGGTCGAACACGACTAGCCAATGGTAAGTCATTTCAGCTTATGTGATGTTACTTTCACAGGCTGCAGTTATCGGAAGAAAACTCGCTGAAGATATTATGTCGCAACCTGTACAAAACACCGGTAAATAAAGCATGCCTTGGATGCCTTGTTCTTGGTTCGCACTTGATCTATCTGGGGTCGGTCTAAGTTGTTGAAGACTTTCCACCTGATAATATTCAGCGTCTCCCGCCGATCTGTCATTTCTAACAGGAAGTTTCTACGTTCGCAGTGTGCCTGCATCATCTTGTCACTAGTCTTGATGTTTGCGCCGCATTCCCAAAAGATTTCCAGTGTTTCGCCTCGCAGTATTGTGATTTGAGAATATGAATACTGTGATGTTCGTTTCGTTTGCATCGCAGAAAATAGCGGAATCCGTATTTATTCGTATTTCAATGATTACTAAAGCTCTTGATGCATTGATTCGGTTCACCTGTTGCAGTATGAGTTCGGTAGACCCGCAATTGATGGGTACGGTATTTCCCCGGTGTTTAATTATTGAAAGTGACAGCGGCGATCCAGTGTTAGGATGAGGTCTCATCTACATGTTCTGTGTTAAAACCTATTTGCTCTTCTGGATAGGTACTCTGCGAAATTTTCGTTGATGGCTCTTAAATCACCAAGAAGATGCGGTGTCTTAATTGTATATCGGTTTATTCGCTCGTTTTATTCACAATCCCTCCCTCGTTGCATGTCATCGATCAGCATCTTTCCTAACCACCTGTATTATGTTCACCCTACTGCTGCCAGAGAGGGCTTGACTCAATAACTGTTGTCCCAAAGAACAGGTAACGCCGCAGATTCTTCCCGTGTCAACTTAATTCGTAAACGTCTTGTCTGGATTAATACTTAAACTAGGGCTTGTGTGTAAAGGTTGGTTGTGTCCATATTTGTACGTTGCCAGAGGCTAGCCAGCTCCAAGTGGCGTGCCGTGTGGCTGTGCGTCGTGGTGGATGAGTATCCACCGAACGGAATCTAGCCTTTGGTGATCAATCGTCCACTTCATGTCAACGGGTGGTATCGGCTCAACGGGGTATCCGACATTTGCTCCGTGGCTTTATCCAGCCTATTTCCTAGGGCATGGGGTTTCTCACTGGATGGGAGGAAGGGAACATGAACGTCTTCTCCAGCATTATCGGGAAGAGACCAGATCCGTTCGGTACGTTCTGAGGCCAAGTGAAGTTTCACACGAAGTTCATTCTGGGTATCCGGAGTAAAACTACATTCCATCTGCCTTAGTCTCGGACGCTGCAATTAACTTTCGGAAACGTCATCGATCCACCTGCGTCCGGGATCGCCTTGAGTGTGTTAACGTATGTAAGATCGACCACTCCTGCCAGTAAATTGTTCCACGTATTTGCATTTAACTCAGCTACTTGTAAGTAGTGTTGTGAGATAGTTGGTGTTTATTGATTTGAACGGACTATCCTTCGGACTTCACCTTCACACAAAATCCTCAGTTCATCGATTCAACGCACACGCTCTCTATTCGATGGGTCCGGAGTTCAAATCCCGGACGAGACAGTAGATGTGCACTACTGATGAGCTCTGATAAGGGCGAAACTCCAGTCTATAGCTCCTGTGTGTATATGGTTGAATCGATGAACTGAGGATCGTTCCACGTATTATCCTGTCAGAAATTTGCCCGAAATTTCAGCTCAGCTTGCTTCGTTTTGGCTTAAAGCTGCGAGTTTCCGTTTTTCAGGCAGTTGCATTCGTGAACAAATCATACGTTGACTAATCATGGGACTTTAGTTCTGAAATTCGCTATCGTTTTCCTTGCCGCTCATACCCTCTCGTTTTACAAACTGCCATTCGGCTAAATATGCGCTACACGTGTCCTTAGCTTGTTTCCACTTCCGAAGGTTTTTTGCTTGCACACTAATCTATGTGCGAGTGAACAAGTGCTGTGTACAGAGGATGAAGGCTGCATATTTTTTCATGTGTAATATCTGCTGTAGTCTTAATTTGAGCGCTTCGCCATTAGGCCGCGGTTCTGATATCCCGAATCTCGGTGACACTGGCCGTTCTTTTGCGAGTACGAGGAATAATGGTCGGTACGCTGGCGTTGGTAGTTTACAATACTCGACTTTCTAAAACTAATCTGGAGGTTTTTCAGTGTTTGTTTCAGTGATGCAATGAGTAGTTTGAGATGGGAGTCATGTATATGTTTTATTTTCGGGATGGCGTGCACAAAAGGACATATTCACGTCGCTCACTTCGGTTCGGTGCCATATCCCGCAGTGTCTCCGGTCAAAGAATTTGAATCTTTGACCCACCCTAGCCGAGGAGCCCCAACGAAAACCAGATCGGAGCACAATTTCTTTAACCCTCTACGGCACGCCATAGCCTACCCAACTAGCTGTTTCTTCCGGCTCGAACTGATGTCTGCGAATAGTACACGGTATGGCAGACGTTGCTCAGGCCCTCGTAGGACGTACCCTATTCAGCTAAGACGATGCAGTGGAATAATTTTGCTCAACGGAGGACTGTGATCCTAGCATACGTCGTCTGACATCGTTATTCACGCGATGCTCCCACCGTGCGCGGGTTATGTTGCGCAGACAACGGTTGTCGAATACGGATAGTCGTTGGACATAATCGGCTCAGAGATGCCAGGTTCCACAGTCACATGGCAACGCGGTGCGTACGTCGTGCAATATACACGCCCTTTCAGTTAAGGGGATGTCGCGCCAACGCCAGAGATGCCACAGATTAGCAAAAGCTAATCTAGCTTTGATCGCACGCTGAGAGACCTCGCCCACACCTCAGCCAGCCGTTATGTAACTCCCGAGGTAGACAAAACTTTTGATTACTTCCAGAATGTGGTTACCCAAAGTAAGTGCCAATCTCGCAACAACATTTTGCACTCTGAGAGTGCAAAAGACACCATAGCGAGTTAACTCAATTGTCAAACGATTCAGTGACTCTTGAATCATTGGTGCGTTGTCACTCAGTAAGGCAATATCATCGGCATACTCCAAGTCTACGACTCCTTTACAGTACACACGGTTCATCGTCCAAGTGTGCATACATTTTATTTCATGTATTCTGGTCTGATAAAAAGTGACAGTAAGGTTGCCATTGCTGTCGGTTCGCAGCCATGACCTTCAATGTCTCCAACCATGCAGTTTTGGAGTCTTTTGAACCTCGACCCGGAAGATGAGAGANCGCTCGGTGCATTGCTTTATCCCTTGTCTCCACGTCATCTGCTGGCTTTCTCCAGCCTTTAATAGCCACTACATACAAGGCGCGCTGCGCGAGGCGACCGTCGGACATACGCGAAACGTGTCCTAACCAACGAAGCCTATTGAGTTGGAATCGAGGCGAAAGCGAGTTCTGGTTCGATGCATTCCCAAACAGCCGACTATTTTATTCTAGGGTACTAATCCGCTCGCTCCATCCCACTTAGGCCAGACTACGTAAGCATCGATTGTCGAAAACCTCTAGGCGACGGATGTCTTCTATCCGCAAATTCAAGGTCTCAACCGTAAAGCAGAATTGATCGTACGGTGGCGCAGTATACGCGACTTTTCAACTTCAGTGAAATGTTACATCGTCGCCACTGGTGTTTAAGTCCTGCGTACGTTTCTCGAGCCTTCGAATGGCGCTGCCGTCGTTGGTCACGCAGCTACTCAGTTTCGAGAAGCAGTCAACTTCAGCTAATTCCTGACCGTTTAGTTTCAGAACAGAACTCGACGACACCCAGTCTTATAGCATCACTTTCCACTTTGAAGGTGCGAAGCACATGCCGAACGGAGTGACAGAACTTGCTAACTTGTCAAGCGTTCTTTGTGCATCCTTCATAGATTCGAACAAATAAACGATATCGTCAGCGTACCCCAAATCGCTCAGCTTTTCTCCAGCTACCCATTCAATACGTACATTTTCGCCCATTCTGTACGTACATTTTGGAGACCACTAAGTGCGTTCTCCGGTATTTCGCCTATGATGAAATTGAACAGGAATAGCGAAAGAGGGCACCCCTGACGAACACCGCTGATAGTTACGAACGATCTCCTCAGCTCGCCGTAGATCAGGAGTATGCGAGTATAGTGAACTCAGAGAATGCTCACGTACTTCTGCGGCATTCCATCACCATCAGCAGAGTCGAAGGCTCCTTTTAGGAACACGTGCTCATACAGCGAAATACAGTGAAGTGAACTTCACTGATCGCTCCCAAACTCGCAATGCATACAATGTTTGTGGTAAAATTTATGGTGGACAGGGATTGAACCTATTTTAAGGGAGGGGAAGAAGGTACACCTCTATGACCAACACAGTACACAATGGAACTCTGCATACATACCATTCCAAGCGTTTTGACCTGCTAAGAAATGACAACAAAACATCCACGGCCAGGCCGGAACCCGGCTTGCTGTTCACGGATGTTGGCCTCCTTTAAAGGCGTCAGACGTCGAGGTATGACC